AATATATTTAAATAAAATTTTATAAAATTTTAATGATTTTTTTATTTAATTATAAGATAAAATATAAAATCAAAAAACTTTCAAAAAATTATGAATCACCCTATAGGTTCAAGTCCCAAAGTCAGGTTAAAGCCTGACCCTCTATCAAATATTTGAACAAGATATTTCTGGCACTATTTATATTCCTATCTATCTCCACTTAATATGAATCACATTTGAATGTTTTTAATCTTCTGAGATCATTCTTCATGAACCCACAACACCCACATGTCTTGAACATGTATTCCTCGGTGTACTCGATGATCTTGCAAATGTGAAACTCCCTTGCCTTATGTTGTAAGAATATCTGGAATCTAAAATGTGACCAAATCAGCATTGCGTGAGTAGTCTTCGACCAAATCTTTCTTTTATTCTTTAAAACCATTCTTGAAAATTTGAATTTAGGCAACAAGATGATCTCGTAATTCGTGCACAACCATTTCATGAGCTGGTGATGGCACTCATCTATTAAATGACAGATTCGTTGTATAACTCGCAACATTTTTTTTTTAATCTAAATCTTTTTTTCTTGTTTGTTCACCCTAACTCAAGATCCTTGTCGCTCTGTAATTTTGTCATATTTCTTGGATAGTTTGAATATTTTGTTAAGATCACTATTACCTCCACTCGATTAATTGACCGTCAGGATTATAACTGGTCATAAACGTGCGAACACCTGGATTGAGCGAGATTACCTTTCCCAGAACATTATCTTGGTTATCGATAATGTCTAGAGGAACAGAAACACACAAGTAAAATGTCCTAGGTGATTCATTTATAAAGTCTGAAAAATCCCTGTTCACCTTCAAAAGGAATTACCCATATTTGAATTCAAATTCAGGGATATTCGAATCATTCGAGTTGATTCGGCTCAAACCGCATAGTACCACTTGTCATAGATACTTGGATAATTATTTTCGAAGGTGGATAGGGATTTTCCGTAATTGTGATTCTAAAATTTGTACTATATACGTATTGTTAAAGGTAAGTGTCGAAAATCAAACTCCCTGTCCGCCTTCGAAAATAATTAAACATATTTGACAAAAGAATATTGAATTATCAACAATGATGTAATAATGACAATTCGATATTCTTTGTCATTGATAATCAAAATAATATAAGATACTTACTATAATTAAAAATAACAATCAGTAAAATAAATAGCAAATAGAGATTTAATTATTAATATTGCATTGTTTACCAACCGTAATTAAAGATGTCAATTAATTATACTGTATTTTTAGACTATAATTGGTTTCATTAAATTTTTGTCAAGAAAGGAAATAACAGAAAAAATTATTCTATAGATCATAAACGAATAAGCCTGAATCCAGAATTTTCCTTTTCATCTTCGGCCCTGTTTTTGTAGATTTTCCATGATAACAGGATGGCGATTATGTATGTAACGAAGACAATCCATCCAATACACATGCTACCATAGTAAGCTTCGCACAATGATTTGATGTCGTCGGTTGGATCGATCAAACTTCCACACTTTGCTGGAATAGTATTTGTTAGGGCTATGAAGTTAAGAAAATAAAAGATTAATGATCATGAAATTTACAGATGTCGCACATATAAAAATTGATCAAGGAACATACAAACTGTGAACCATAACAATGCGAAAAAGCTAAAAAAAAGTAGATTTCGAATATCAGTTCTCAAAAAAGTAGATCATAGAAATACGAGGCAAACTGTAGTATTCATGGTAAATTTGACTTACATATCCATTCTGAAAAATAATCTCTTCAAATGTTTTCTTTTCAAAATCATGTCAAAGAAACTAACATAAATGCCTGAATTATAAAACAAATTTTAATCAATTGACGCTCAAACCAAAAGTGACATAGACCAAATAATTGGTAGAAAAACTTGCTTGTGAACAAGAAGGTCAAGGCAATGACAAATGTATAGTAGGACTTTACACCGTATATCTCATATCTACAGTATATATGCAAAATGAAGATACCCATTACTGCAATTACAAACAAACGATTCCTTAATGACTTTCACGCTAATCTTACGTAGATTTATCGTAATATCCAAGGGGTTGTAGGGATGGGAATGACTCTTGTGCTTTCCTGAAATGTGCATGGAATCTAGATATCTGTACGATTTCTATTTACAGCAAGGTAAAGTTCTTAAACAAGGTAAAATAGATCACTAAAATAACGACTTTTTAACTTACCCAAGATTGTTATGACGAGAAGAAATACCAATTGCACAACTCTAATCCGCTTCTGGTTTTCGGGATGAATGGCCAACTCCTCAAGACTTCTGAAATTCATGTTTTCCGTATTTTTTCGTAATTAGTTTCGTGGCTAACGATCAAAAAAGAATGAATCCTTGCGGTTGAAGCAAGTTCGTTTGAAATTATTTCGGATTTTTTCGTTAGCTTGCCAAAATGAACACCGAAATTTCAAATTTCGAGGTTTTTTCAAATCATTAGGACGTTATTCAAAAGATACATGTCCGATCATTATACAGTCGATATTTATAATTATGATTGTCGGAATAGTTGATCGGAAAATCAATTATGAAATTTAAACCTTACAAAACTTCAATCACCGTCAACATGTGATAAGAGCCATATGTACAGCATGAGAATGAATGTCCAACTGATATTGCCAATTTCATTTATCTTCGATGGATTATGACGAATAAGAGGAATCTAAAGTCATCCTCTGGATCCGTCATGCGCTTAATTAATCCCTTGTACAGTGTATGTATATTAGCTTATCGTTTTATATACAATAATATATATATATTAATATATATACACTATATCTTTTGTTAATTAATAAAATTATACCCGTTTTTTAATTAAAAACAAATTTTTAAAGATATCGTAATAAATATGATACAATATTTTGAAGACAAAAATAAATTATAACATTTCGGTTGTTTATTATATTGTTTGTGTTATTTTGAAATTATAATTATTGAAACTGGTATAGGATACAAGTCATATATGATTTAATCCAATAAATTGTTATGTTGTTTGGATATAGCTAAGTAATACAAAATACAAAAACTTTGAAAAAATAAAACATCACCTTTTAAAAGTTAAATTGTATATACAGTATATTAGAGATAAAGAATATAATTGTTTTATATAAGTTACTGTATATAAGGAAATGGTTTTAATTGGAGTTCTTAATAATATTACATTGATACTACTTCGATATCATCTTTAATTTATATTATCTTTTCTAAAAATAAATTTTATATTATGAAAAGAGTTTTTTTTTTTTTAATTATATTGTTAAACTTTTATAATAAATCAATTGTAAAAGACAATATGTTTGATTTGTTTATTTTTATTTTTATTGATATATAATATATATATTTGAATATCATATACTGTATATATTTAAAAAACTTATACAATTAGATATAAATTATCTTTATATTATACTTTACATCTAATATTCAGAAATTCTATCACTTTATGAATTTCCTTTATGATATTAGAAAGCTATAGAAATCCTATTACTAATTTTAAATCATCTAATCTATAATATTATTTTTAATTTTAAAATATATAATTACATGCTAACTATTTATATAAGTAACTTATTATATCTTATCTTTAACTTATACAATCAATATAATAGAAAAGTTTCAATATAAATATATACTTCTTAATAAATACTTCAAATCTGTATTTTTTGATTAACTCAGTTATCAAACTTAAAAGTTTTTATAATTAAGTATAATGTCATTTTATTAATCTTCTAATAAATACTTTAAAAAAATCAATTGGTATAAAATATTAAATTTAGGAGTATAAATATTAAATAAAATATAACTTATATATATTGTTATACTTGATTTTTTTTAAATATTTTTTATTTAATTTTATTAGTATTTACTCTTGAAATATTGCTTATTTTAAAATAATCTTTGTATTACTGCTTTTATTATTATTTATTATTATATTTTTTATATTATTGTTATTTTAAAATATTTTTATTTTATTTGTTTCTTTTTATTCTTTTATTTTTATTAAAGTATTTGTTTTTATACTAATATATACAAATAACTATTCTAATAAATATAATATTTCTTTTATAATTTAATTAATTTATATTGTATAACTTATATTTATTATATATAAAAATATTATATTTTAAATATATAATGGTACTTGAAATAATTTGAAATTTTTTAAAATAAAATTATTAAATATAATTTTGTAATTATAAAAGATATATAAATTTTAATACATATAATTATACTTTATTTTTTCATAATAATTTGTTTATTTCTATCTTCTTTTATATATATTATATTCTATAAGAAATAATAATATAAAATAATCTTTTTAACAAAAAACAAGTAGTATTAAAAAATTTGATAGTATATGGATATTAACCTCTTTACAATATATTACAATTTAAAAAAATTAAAAAAACTAGTAATATAATATAATAAAAAGATAGGCTTCTAATGATACCACTTCGATATCACTTCGATACTTAAATTTACTATAAAAACATATAAGTAGGTTACAACCTATATATTAAATTTACTATAGATTAATACCATTTTGATATCATTTTGATACCATTTTGATACCAGTTCAATACCAGTTAAATACTTTTCAGAGCCTTATAAAAAGGTATAAATTATTCAAAAAAAGTCAATTAAAGTTAATATATACAATTAATTAATTTATTAAATAAATATTTCAATACTGGTAAATAAATTAATAAATAAACTTTTAGAAAAAATATAATACTTGAAAAAAAAATGGTTTGAAAACATTTTTATATCAACAATTATAAAAATTCTCTTCTCTTATAACATTTAAAATTCTAAACTGATATCAAAATAATATTAACTTATAATAAATTTAATATATACATTATAACTTATTATATTTAACTTATAGTAAATTTTATATTAAAATAGTATTGTTAGAAATTCTAATAATATCTATACTTATAAAGAAATATAAAGAAAAACAAATTAAAAAGATCTAAAAATATATTGATAATAATTAATCCTATATCTTTTTTTAAATAAAACTTTGTTTTAACTATTTAAGAATATAATTATTCAGTGATACAAAAACAATTATCTTATTTGTTATATTTCTAAGAACTAACAAAAAATTCATATTTGAAATATATTTAACTTATAGACTTAAACTAGTATTTATTGTTTTATAATGTAAGAGGGATCAAAAAAATTAGATAGATTCAACATATGTCATCCTCGCCCAATTGGGGTTTAATTGGGGCTTGAGGGATTTTTGG